AAAGGTAATAATACATGTTTGTAAATAATCAGAAACTAATCTACTGTTCTTGTCATCCATAAAGACTCACTTGTCCTTGGTAAAATTGTTTATTTTATTTATTATTGAAATTATGTACATAATTTTAGCCTTGCAATGTGAATAGGCAATTTTCCTGAGTATTGTCTACCTGAAATTTTTGTCAACAATAAAGTTTTGAAGGTTTTATCCCTCAGAGAGATTTCAAAATAAATTTTAACTTTGAAACTTTCTAATCTCCTAGGCGAGCCAGCCCAGGTAACCCGAGTTGATTTCATCCCATGTTTACAAGAGACTTTTGAGGCGAGCTGGTTTGCCAAAACAGATCACTGTTATAAATAGTATAATATAATATTTTTTACTTCTCAAGATCTTGCCTTGACAGGCCAGCCCAGTTCCATATAAATGCAAGGTGAATATTAGTTTAAATTACATAGCGACGTTAGATCTTGGCAAAGCGAGCTAGCTCGGGTATCCGGCTGGCTTGGGTACCCCCTAAGGAAATGAAGAAATGTTATTTACATCAATAGATTGATGTGAACAGAGTATTATTTAATGCCCAGCTGTTATCCAAGATCTAAGGCATGGAAAAAAAGAGTCTTGGCTAGGCAGCTAGGCTAGCCCAACTGGAAAGAAGGTTTGTGTAACTAATGCATATTGCCGATATTGGTAGGTATAGTGATCCCAGATTACTTTAATTAAATTTCTAGTGCCTCATGCCTGGCCAAATATAAATTAATAAAGTATCCCTCCTCCAAGTGCTTGGTAATGAGTGGCAGCTCAAATAGGATTAGAGCTTATTAAGGTGAGGATGTATCATGACAATATGTTGTTAAACCTCATTATGGCTCAACCAATTCAAATGGCTTGACCAATTCATGTCTCTAGGTGGCATGACTTTGAGATTTGCTTGTGTGAATATAATTTTTTGCTTAGTACCTTTGTTCCAGCAAGCCCATGCATATGCTTGCCTCAACAGTGTCATATAAATTGAAACACCAAGCAAGCTATTGTAGCTGTAATCAATTGGGGCTATGTCCTGTATGGCCACCATTTGCTAATGTAAATACTTTAATAACAATAAAGTGATTAAAAAATATGGCTAATCTAGGCTGGGTTAACTCCATATAAACAGACCAAAAGTAAGCTGTCAGTCTGTCTTAGAGTGAAAGACATCTTCCAAAAGTTTTTTTTACAAAGCTCAATGTCATGATAGCAAAAATTTTATTATAATACAAGAAAATGGAACATACCATAGTTAATAGAATAGATGGTTTGGAAACTCATTAGAATAACAATATATATACCTCATTATCTACAGGTATGTTAGTCAACGTTTACAGAGGTGTAACTTAACACTTGGCCGGGGCAAGTGAATATCATGACGGGCAAGTAAGCGTTTTATCTTGCCCGATTGGGCAAGTTGCCTCTTGCCACAAAAAGCTTGGCTTTCATTATCTTGATTCAAATTTTGTTTTTTGTGGGCCAAAGCTAGATCTAAGGCAGTATAACATAGCCACATAGAGAATGAGTCGACATGTTGCCACCTTGATTTATACCCCCTGGCAAATGAATTTTATTCAGGGCAACTAATTTTCATGTCCAATTAACTTGCCCTGAAAGCAAATGGTCAAAAAAGTTAAGTTACACCACTGGTTTATTCATAAAACTGGTCTCTGTATTTTTGCCCAACTAACCAATAGCAATGTCTTAGGAAAGTTACCTATCCGTAACTCGAACAATAGGGTAAATTGAAAATTGCAAGAATACAAGGTGGTGGATTTGGCAAGAATACAATACACACATGACGATGAAGGACCAGATTTATGAATAAACGTTGACTAACATAAATAATGAGTTTGAGAGTTTCAGCCAAACCATCTATTCTATTAACTGTGATGGAACTCATTATGTGCAGATTTACTAAATGGATGAGCTAATTTGATTGAAGTCAACTGCTACTAATGGGCAATGGTCTATTTGTGTTAATAAATTACCTAGGTGACTAGGTCTAACATTTTATACTAAACAACAAATAGGTCTAATTAAGGGACCGATCGTTTATTATGTCTCAGGGGGGGCGGTGGTTTTTGAGGGGGGGGTTAATTTTTTAAATATGGCTATTTTGGGGGGGGTAGTTTTTTGTTTCCCGAAAGGAGAAGAGGGGGGGTTAAATTTTGAAATTGCAAATGATTCTTACATATTAAAATGACTTTATTTGGTTTATGAGATGAAATTCAAAATATATCTACCATTTTGAATTTGAAAAAAAGAAAAACAAATACAAACTAATCAAGCAAGATTGCGCCATTGTCAATCTCGTTCACCGAGCGTGCCCGTTCGCAGGTTAAGGGTGGGCATAGCTCTGGAGAAATCGAATTGATTCAGGGCGCTGATTGGCTAGCGGTAGATAGCACGTTGGATTTCCAACGTGAGCTCTACGCATGCTTAGCAATTGTTGCAAAATATAAACAAAGTATTTAGAATTTCTCGTCGAAAATCTGCTACTTTTTACCCTGAAATCGAATTGAAAATAAATAGAAATTCTGGGGGAAATGTACGAAAGCTTTGGATTGATAGGGAAACAAGTACCTGAAAAATACAAGGAGAACTTCGACGTTTCGAGCGGAAGGCGAAGCGACTTGTACTGTAATAGTTTTATTAGTTTGAATAAAATACTCGTACTCAGGGCCGGAGCTACGGGGGGGGTGTGGGGGGGTGTGACACCCTCCCAGTAATTGTATTCAGTCGGCAGGACTGCTATTCAGTCGGTAGGACTGCTATTGAGTCGGTAGAACTGCTATTTGGGTTAAATATTTTTGGCGCAAAGGGCAAGAACGTGGTGGGAATTTTAGGAAAATTTTGATGAAAAATGTAAAAATTTCGGAAAAATGTAAAAAAATGTTGAAAATTTGTTATGTTCGGAAAATTTTTGAATGTTCCGGAAAATTTTTGTATGTCCGGAAAAATTTTTGGACCCCTAAAATGGTACACTGACCGAAATTTTTTTGGCGACGGGGGGGGGAGGTCGACCAAAAATTTCTGATCCGGAAAAATTTTTTTGAACCAGTCGGTTGAATTGGCCTTATTAACACCCCCCCTGAAGAATTTCCTGAGGACGGCCCTGCTCGTACTTGACCTTTATACTGTCGTACCTAACACTACGTATACCATAAACTCTGGCAGGAGAGTTAAATGTAAATTTTAAAGCACATATATATTATACTCATTCTTGAGGAGATTATATTTAGTCAGTAAAGGTAAAGTACGATGTATACAAACACTAACAATACATGTCGAAGCCTTCGCACGAAATGTCGAAGTTCTCCTTGTATTTTTCAGGGATCAATCCGAAGCTTTCTCCCAGAATTTTTAGTTGTTTTCAATTCGATTTCAGTGTAAAAAGTATCAAATTTTCGACGAGAAATTCTATAAAATACTTTGTTTATATTTTGCAACAATTGCCGAGCATGCGTAGAACTCACGTTGGAAATCCAACGTGAATCAATTCGATTTCTCCAGAGCTATGCCCACTCTTAACCTGCGAACGGGCATGCTCGGGGAACGAGATTGCGCCATTGTGTGCAATTTTTGCATAGAGAAGACTGGAATCTAGTTCTTAATTAGCATTCAACTCTTTATAGTTTGAAAGTTGAAAGTAGTTCAATGTTTGTTCAAATAGATTCATGTCTCGCTAATAGGGTTAGCGGTTAGGGTGGGGATTGGGGTTAGCATTATAAATAGCGAGACATGAATCTATAACCACCACTTAGTGACTCCGCTGAACGGAATGATTGCAGTCAATCGTTTACACCTGAAAAAAAACATGGCGGAAAAAGTTTCAAAAAAAGTATTTTTTATCTACATTTTATAATAATATATAAATATTATTGCATTTTTACTTTTACATGTTTATATCATTCATTAATATGATATTTTTGTATAACGTTTTCCTGTTTTGTATTGAATGCTAAAATGCGCAATCTTGCTTTTATATATGATTCGATATTATATTGAATTAGCAATCTCGCGAGGCCTTGTAATTCAAATATTTGATGCACTGAGGTTTGATGCCTAGAAATGCCTAGTGCAATTGTGGGGGGGGGTATATTTTAAAATTTTAATCTATATAGTTAAACAGGGGGGTCATTTTTTCATTTCCAAAAAATATAGGGGGTGCGTATTTTATTGATGTTTTTAAAAAAACCACCGCCCCCCCCCTGAGACGTAATAAACGATCGGTCCCTAAACAACAAGTATATTGTGCTCCTTATTCATTGTTAACAAAAATTTGAAAGAAAAATTGCCTATTCACATTGTAAGGCTAAAATTATGTACATAATTTCAGTAATAAATAAAATAAACAACTTAATACCAAGGACAAGTCAAGTGAGTCTTTGACTCTTTGTGGATATAGACCATATAGTGACAGTCTTTGCAATTTCACATCAAGGTCAGGCCAAAAACCCAAAAGTTGGCGCAATAAGAATAGTAGATTAGTTCCTGATTATATACAAACATGTATTATTACCTTTTGCATTTTAATATTGTGAAAAAATATCTATATTTTTATTTCTGTACGTATATTTTCCTCAGAAGAATGATAAAAATGCGTAATACCGCGTGCAACCCCCCTGCTAAGAGACTTGCACTAGTACAATAATTGTATATAACATGAAGTTTCCTGAACAAAATGGCGGAAATTTTAATAAAATATGTTGATGTTTGATCGTAAAATACAAAAAAAACTGCAGGTTTGTGCGAGTGACAACAAGTGAATTCGTACTCAGCGTATAAAAATGTATAGATTCGTGTGAATTTAAAGTAGTGCCCGAAGGGGGGCAACAAAACTGAACGAAAAGCGGTCAGGGAATACGGCCTATATGCATCTTGCAAGAAATGGATGCTGTTAGTACGCAAATCGCAATTGAATTAATTATGATTAATTCCATATTAGGGGGTATCGAATTTCAAAACAGCATTAGGCTGCACTTAACCGGTTTTTGATTGCTCCTACGAACTATTAATTAAAGCGTTTCGTAAAGTTAGTAGCTCAGCTTCGAGAATTAAAGTTAAACTATTATCTGACCTATTTATACTGATACGATCAATCGATCATGCCTGTATATAAGTTGATCTACTTCAAAAGCAGAGGACGAGGTGAGATGATTCGCTTGGCGTTTGCAGCGGCCGGGGTTAAATATGAAGACTGTAGACTGACTAGAGAAGAATTCGAGGAATTAAAAGCCAGTAAGTTCAAATACATAATTACGGGGTGTTTTAAAACCCTTCAACTATATTTTAAGTGTTATTTTATTCACATATGCAGTCAGTAGCGTTACCGCAGGCCTATGGTTTCTATAGGTATAGGAAAGGGATAACACTTGATAATCATTTATAGTCCGTATTCTGTGATCGACAGGCTCATCCTCGCCCCCAAGGACGCAATAGAGACCTTACGATTTTAGGACGGCAACCGCGACGGCGACGGCCAAAACAAACTCCTTCAAATAAATGGTATTCGATAGTTCGTCGTATATTATCAATCGTATGAATTTAATACAGTCTTAGAAGTTGAAGACATGGGTTTTAAGTTTATGGTTGGGAAGAGTTCTGCTAAACCCAGTTTGAAGTTGCACTTGTTGTGGCTTGGAATGCAGCCGTTGTATCAACACGTGAAAATATGTGATTTGGCGTTGTAAACAGAGCGAGGACAATGTCTAAATTATTCATTTATTGTAATTACTCAATTCTTTTCAATGAACAATTATTGTATTGGTAGCCGTTGCTGTTGCCGTCCTAAAATCGTAAGGGTCTCTAATATCTGCCAGGGGCACTGGAAGAGCAATGTATAGCACAGGCCTGGGGACTAGGTTGGGAAGGACAAGGTTATGTGCATCTTCGTTCCCAGGGCTTCTCGGAGCCGAGAAGCCCTGGAAACGAGGATGGGTTATGTGAAAAAAGAAGACATAACCTGAATTCAGTTTTTCTTCACAATTTACTTTCTCTGCATTGATACTCTTTATATGCACAATTCTAAATTGCATAATAATTGGAGCTATCTTGCCGTGTGTGAAAGGATTTCCTAACCGTCTCTTGCGACTCTCCTCTGCAACCGCGCACAGGAGAGCTCTGAGAACGAGGTTGACAAGGGCGAGTCTGGGCTTTTTCCAGAGTAGCATTTACGGAATTTTTAATTTTTTTCTTACAAAATGCCCTTCCCTTCAACAACATTTCCCTCCAACAATATTTAGTTCCCTCCAGCAATATTTCTTTCCAACTATTTCCTTCCTGAGGCCAAAATGTTCTTCTGGAAGAAAACGTGCTTCTAATTGGAAACGCTGGTAATCAAACACGTTTACTCCAGCCTAAACCTAGGCCTTCTATCTTTAATTTCAGCGTTATTTCACACGAGAAAACTGGGATCAAGGCGATTTGGGGGCGGGGTGGAGAAAGGGAGAATACCTTGTTTTCATTTCGCGTGTGACTTCGTACTTACCAAAAGCTAGCCCAAAATTAACCAAACCTGCGAATGCCAGCCGAGCAATGGGTCTAGTAGGTCTAGAGCTACGATTGTTCTTGACTGCATTAGCAGATCGCAGCACCCAGCAGGCCCAAGCAGAAGGCGCGACAGCTCGTCGATATAGGTGAACTGCAGAAATTAATAAATGCAGTAATCTTATGTGAATTTCCAATAATAATTATAAATATGGCTTAAATTAATAATTCTAAATAGGGGTTATCAGAGGTTACTTAAATATACATAGATTAATAGATAAGAAAATGGAATGTTGGAAGTGGAGAACTCTCCCGTCCGTTTTTTAACGACATAGAATTTGTAACAATAGGAAGTTGGAAAATTGTATGATAATCCTCATGTTTTTTATTCTAGTTCTTGTAAATACACACTGTATGCAATTTTCTAGGTGGAATTGTACCATTTGACCAGTTGCCAATTCTTGAAGTTGATGGTAAAATACTTGCAAAATCAATGACCATTTGCAAGTATGTTGCGAGGGAAACAGGTTGGTGTGAGCAGATACTAGTTTATTTGCATGCATGCATGCATGGGGTGCTCCCGTGTGCACGCTGTATGCATGTTTATAGGTACAGTATATATACCGTACATTGGTACCATCTTATTTATACATGAACTTGTGGTTAGAGCTACACAACTCTCTCTTTAGTCTCTGTAGCTTGGTTGGCTGAGAGCGCTGCACCGGAATCACAGGAGGGCCGCCGGTTTTCGATTCCTGCAAGAGGGCCGATAGGCTCCTGGTTATAGGTTTAATAAATGTATAAGAATTCCACTTGATATTTTCATCTACCAAATCCCTTCAGTATATAGGTATATGCCGTCCCGAAAAGTAGCGTTTTTGATTTGTTTTGGATATTTTACAGTTTTGGTCTGAAATAGGGTATGGTGTACACCTTTTGCTCTGAACTGGGTATGATTTTTTATCATGCTTTCCCTAGCTGTCTTGGAGTGTCTTCAAAATGGCATTTTGTTCGAATGTCGTGTCTGCTAATTCCCCCCCCCCTTTTATTTTCCATTGGTTGTAATTATAGTGATGTATTCATAATTAAACCTATTCAATCACTCTGAAGATCTTCAGCTAAAGACGAAACGTTGGAATGTTTCACTAAAATGTTATAGATTCCTGTCTATATATGGCGTTATTGCGTACGCTGTGCTGGCTCCTGGTTCATTTCAATTTTATTGTCAGGGTGGGTTCGGAAATATCCCAAACCAACCTTCCACCTCAGCTGTGCTCTGTGATCAGACGTGAGTCATACGGTGGCAGGCCAGAGGCGCCCTTATTAAGCATTCGACCAGGGGTGGCGCTAGGGCTCCTTCAAGGGGGGGGGGGGGATAAGGTATAATTTTGCTGAGTCGTTAGCTTGATTTGTATTAGCCTACTGTATGTACACGCGCATATTTACTAAACTTTGGTTAACATGGCATATACGTGAATTACATAGGCAAAAGTCTCCGATTGACATGTCGACTTTACTTGACAGTTTTTAGCTACGCAGAGTGCGGGGGTCCTTGAAATCAAGAGTCTCTGAAATTGCATTTCCTCCATTCTGGGGAAGATTTGAAATGGCTACCTCAAAGATTGGAGCTGATTATAACCACAAACAGTAACTGTAATTTCCAGCCATGACCGCTGTCAAAGAGGAACTTCTACGTCTGCATTTATATATTAGGCTGTTGTGTTGTTTTGAACTGATTTTTAAACTACCCGCTACGACTCGATAGAGCACATTTTCAAGATATCTATTCACCTGACTTTTTGAAGTGTTAAGTTTTATATATAAATTCACGTTTGGTTTTAATTCAGGTAAATCAATTCGATAACCAAACAGCTTAATTTTTGCCGAATGAATGCAACAATTTGCCAACTCGTTCATGAGTGGCGATGTTCCACGCGCCATCCCCTATAGTGCCGCCTTTGCCTTCGACTTTATTAGGTTGAGCTGCTGAAGCTGCATCCTTCGTAATTCAGCTCAGCTTTCAGCTGCAAGTGAGGATGATAAGCATACAAGATCTAGAATTCATGCCGTGCAATGAAAGATTTCATTGCACAATCAGTGAAATGGAAATTTCTCTTCAGTTAAACGACGTTAGTTTAATAAAGTGTTTCTATCAGGACTTTGGGCATCCGACCCGATAGAACTAAATGTTGAAGGGTTAAAGTTTAATTAAATTTATGCAGCCATCTGTATAAACCTTCAATATTTAATTGATTTAATTTTGAGTGTAAATTATATACGCTATATTACTATCTGTTTATTATTCAACAAGGGTTTGCTCCGACAGAAAGTTTTGAAGTCGCAAAAGCTGACATGATCGTGGACGGTATCGATGATCTGACGGACAAAGGAGTACAAGTTTTTATTGAAAAAGATGAAGAGACAAAGGTAATGTTCCTTGTGGGTATCAATCAATTTAAGCAATTATGGTTTATTTGCCAAAATAGTAAACTGTTAAGTTATTTACAAAATAATTATATAAATGTAAACAGCGGTAGGCGAGGAGACCTCAAGAAGCTAGAAGAGGCCATCCCATCTTAACAAAAGTTTGTTTCAGAAATTTGTTTGTTTAATGTTTGTTTCAGAAAACCATAAATCGCCATTTCACTCAAATTCGAAACAGCGTGTTATAAGTGTTTTATCATTATAGCAAGTGTCAAAGTTTGTTTCATAATTCACCGGTTTTAATTTTGACAGGTCAATAGTTGTTTCATTGTTGACCGGTTGCCCCCTCACCAAAACATGCAGTGAACATGACGTTTTGTGGATCGGCACGTGATATAGCCTACGGTGTATCACACGTAAAAACGCACAACTTGTAACAAACCTGCAGCAGACTTGTAGCAAGTCTGCACCAACAACTTGTTCACAAGATGTGCTCGCACTGGTTGTCCCAAGCTTGTTGTGACAGACTTGTAGCAACTTGTCGACGGACTTGTAGCAACTCTGTCGTGACGATGCTGTAGCAAGCTTGTTGGCATCAAGTTTGTAGCAAGCTTGTCAACTGACTTGGAGCAAGTTTGTTGGAACAATGCTGCAGCAAGCTTGTCAAATTCAATCCGTAACAACCTTGTTTCATCAAGCTTGTAACAAACATGGCGACTCGTGAAAAATCCCGCGGGTAAAAAAAACACGCGTGTGAATATCACTTCGCGTGTTTTCCCGGGGGGTGTCAACAATAAAAAATAGACAACACAAGTTTGGTGTAAAAAATCGTATATTTTGAAAAGAACATACAAGGAATCAAGGATTAGTAAATAAATACAAACTACAGAGTTAAAGTACAAGGTAAGATTGTTATAAACATATATTTAGCATGCATTAGAACAATAAGCTGCATTTTCTGAGTCAGTATATAAATATAATACTGAAAATAAAACATATTCCTAAATTGAAAACACTTCTATTTTGAGCAATATTTATATTTATAAACTACATATATAAACATATCGTCAGACTGTCATTTCAAAATTTGTTATTGTTGTCCCAACAGAAACCATGGCAGCATTTTATCAATTTATATAACCTGGTTGTGTGATGTTACTCTGATTGTATATCCACACCGGGCAGGCCTGAAAAGTGAAAATATGCCTGGCCAGGGTGGGAATCGAACCTATGACCTTTGAAATATTAGCCCGATGCTCTGCCAACTGAGCTACGCGGTCAAGACGGTTCGAGTATGCAATATTTCAGAACTGAGTCTAGTTCCTTCGATATCAGTGTAATCTAATAATCATGATATTTGCTGTGTTGGTGTAATGTACTCAGGTGAATCAGATGCTTGTGTGATGTTACTCTGAATGTATATCCACACCGGGCAGGCTCGAAAAACACTCAGAGTAACATCACAGAAGCATCTTATTCACCTGAGTACATTACACCATCACAGCAAATTTAGATAACCATTACTCAAGTACTTAATTAACTACTATTTGACATATTTGTGAGATGATTTTACTCAATGGGTTCATACTCATGGATTTTTTATTAATTTCAATCCTGAGCCATGTCGGGAATGTATTTCCATGTCTCACCAAGATAAAATCTGTTTATCAGATATGTTTTGTTAGCCATATCATGCTGAAAGACACACCTTTCTGTTGTCACCATCTCTCTTTCTTCAGCACAGTGATGATCAGTGATGGTGAAGGCACATCTGTGATCGCAGTTGTGGACCATGTTGACCTTCTCCAACACAGCGTTGGCTCTAACAAGCGCCTTTCCTTCTGTTTCCTCAAGAATGGGAGATCGAAACTTCCCATGAAGAACATCACCATCAGCTGCTCTTAGAGGGGTGTATGGTGTTAGCAGAACCCAATTTGCTGGCTGTTCTTCGTGGGAGAATTGCACTGATGTGCAAAATCGTCCAAAACATATCTGAAATGCAATGGTATGCTGTTGAAATTTTTAGCTGTTAAATATTCTGTTGACCCTACAGTTACATTTTAATAAACCTTATAAATGCATTATGATGTATTCTTATTGTTCGTGGCCATTATAATCAGAATGCTTAGTGAGTTTTTAACAGAAAAAGATAGCAAATACATGCTAAGCATTCTGGTTGTAGTGGTCACACACAGCAAGAATATTTCATAATGCATAAGGCCTATCGTTCAAAATTTTGATATGTAAAGGGCTAAAACAGCATTTTTTTATTGTGGACTGGGGATTTGTCAAACAAGTTGATGGCTTTAGCCCCCCCAGGCTTCCTCAGAAGAATTGAATTTCCACCACTGTGGCAGTATCAAATACAAATGTGATAGCATTGTAATTATAGTACCTCATCATTGAGGTTCATATATGCGAAGGCTTCTCCTTTCTGGACCAGTGTTCTGTTTTGTGCAATACAGCCTTTAAACTGTTTACACTGGGGTGGAATATGGACATCTTGAGCTTCAATGTCATCTTGCAGAGCAATGATGGGTAAGATGTCCTCCGTTTGCATCATTTGTAGTCTGTGATTCTTATATGTTCCCTGTGATCATAGTAAAAATAATTTTATAAATACTTAAATTATGTGAAAATTTGTTTGATGTCTGACAAGCAATCCACTGGTAATGGCAATATACAGTATATTAATGAATGTATGATATATATACTAACCAGCCTAAGGCTTCCAGGTTGGTAGATTTGTTTGTGTGACTGACTGCAATTGGCATCGACCTGGTACATAAACTTCTGAATCACTGGCAGTTGACTTAGTCGGATTATTTCTTGTGAAGCAGATGTTCTAAGTATAGTTAAGGAAAATTTAACAATACAGATTAGGTATGAGATTTAATTCCACTTGTGTTGACATAACTCTATATCAACACGAAAAAAGTTTTATAATTATTAAATTGCACATGACATTCTTACGCTGCTCTCTTACACGGTTGTCTATTTAATAAAGTGGGATAACTATATAAATAACCTGTTGTCCGTTCCCCAGCGACCTCCATTGATCAAAAACTTCAGGACATGGTGTTGGAGTAATCGCTCCCCAATATCCTTACTGCTTCCGTGACGATTTGAATACACATTAAGGGTTCTTATCACAGAATTAAACGCTTCAAATCTAAAACAATTTAGTAAAGAATGTCTTCAGGATGGTATATATTATATTATATTATTTTAAATCCGGAGAACTTCTACAATTATTGAATCATATATATATACTGTATATATAGTTTTTGTCTTACCTAAAAAAAACACAACGGTTCGTTTCAACCGTTATAGAATCATACGGATGATTGGATGAAACAGACTGTTGTGTTTTTTTTTAGGTATAAGACGAAAAACTATATTACGCTCTATTATTTGCGATTATACCATATACTTATATATGTATATTACATCTTGCCACAGAATACCTTTCTGTGTTAAAACCAGCTGGTGGACCAAAGTCTAACATTTCGTCTTGCAGGTGCAATAAAAGGTGAAACTTTTGTTTTTGCAGGAGCTCTGGGTGAACTTCGCTTAAGCATTCTATCATTTGTTGGATGAGTAGTGTGACATTCTCGTTGTCCTCCATGTCAACTTGCGATCCATATGCCAATGCAAAAGTCTTCATAAGTGTAAAGAAGTGCAAATTCACATCATGTAAAGGTAATATTAACAGCAGCCTAGTATACAGTATATATAGAGAATGATACATGGGAGCGCGGAAATACCAGATTTATTTCGAGTGTTGAACATGATATCTCACGAGTGAGCGCAGCGAACGAGCGAGATATCATGTTCAAAACGAGTATGAGTAGAGTTCATCCGTATGGGAATCATCAGACCTGACCAGTAAATGATTTCAAAAATTTAGGTTGCTTTTATGCTATCGAAAGAATGCGTAGGTGAATGGACGCGATCATTGTTTCACCTACACATTCCATTCACCTACGCAATCTTTCGACAACATAAAAGCAACCTAAAATTTCTTGATTTTCTTGACTGAACATTTTCTTTTTTAGCTAAAACGAAAAACTATATATAATTTTATATGGCTTATTATAATGGCTTTATAGTCTGAGCGCGCAAAATTAATTGGTCCTTCATTTGTACTTACTTCACTTAGATATAGCCAGACTTCGAGTTCCTCGGCTGAGATCAACCCATCGAGTATAAAAACGGATATCTGAGCCCAGAGCTTAAAGTCACGGCCAACGCAGGAACCATAATTTTTAACGAAGCTACCTGGTAGACGTCTCTGAAAGGCGGAAAAGTCGAATGCTTCGATCTTGGCTTGGACCTTTTTCTTGTCAGCAACGCTTATGTTCTTCATGGTTTTCGTGACAAGATACTTGACAGGACCAAGAAGGATAGTATGGAGAACCTCGACAGGTGTTTGTCTACATACGTATGAATGTGATTATGAGTTTTCCGAACCTGTCATTAAAGTGCTTATGAAACGAAATTTTCCCCACATTTTTTATGGTTGTGCTACAAGAACTGCATGAGTGATGTTGAATGGCGTTTACAATTTATGTATATCTCATCTCGTTCTCAAGTTATCGCGCGTTGAATATTTCGAGTTGTGACGTCACAAGTGTGACTTGAGATAGTGGCAATAACTAGAAAGTGTAATATCTTTATTGTAATTTTATAAAATTCAATGAAACTTGTCATAGCCAATTAGCCAAAATACTGCCAATTGTCAGCCTACAGGTGGCTAATAAAATGACGGAATACAAAAGAAAGGTAAACATCATAGCGCGCAAAGGATCACGGTTGACTGTGATTCTTTAAAGAGATGGGATATGAATAAACTGTAAACGCCATTTTCCATTATTCAAGCAGTACTTCTTGTCAAAACAGTAAAAGAGGAGGAAAAGACTTCGTTTCATAAGCACTACACACGTGAAAACGTACAACTTGTCAACAAGTGTAATAATAGTAATAAGATCATTTTATACGCACTCGAAGATTTTGTAATTTTACGTGGAGGAATTACACATAATGAGTAGAAGCTGCTTACTTTATTGCGTCATAACTTGATAAAATATCGAACTGTCCACCTCGTTCTGTGGTTCCTGTCGACTTCCTTATCTCCTTTTTCTGTCTTTCGCTTCTATGGAAAAGACCCGTGAATGTGAATGCAAACAAATTTATTTCCTTGGAACGTGTACAAAAGATAATCATGGTAAATTTTACTAACGCAGCGGACAAAACGTTTTTTCTAAACCTATATACCTTACTAATGTATTAAAATTCGCGCAGTACTAATTCGCGCAGCGCTGCAGATAAAAAATACTTATTATAAACACTTTAATTGTTAATAGTTCAATTAAACAAGCAAAAAAGACATACGGACACGGCTAATTACTAAATTAACACTTATAAACACTTTAATTGTTAATAGTTCAATTAAACAAGCAAAAAAGACATACGGACACATCTCAACAATGTGCGCGAATTCAGTAAAGCTCAACGAAAATGAGTAGGACGCGAATATTATATACACTGTCAAGTAAGTTAGTAAGGTAGGTTTATGCTCAACCTTACCCTGCCGCGGCTATCCTTCCAATCGTTCTCTGGACGTCTTCTGGTGTACGCAAAACGCCAACTTCTACTCCTTCTCCTTTTGTTGCCTATTGAATAACCATAAATATCTTTAGGTAATAATCGCAAGGGCGCAAGTAATTTTCCCCGAATTAAAGGGATATGGCAATATATTTTTTTATTATTTCATTTTAAAGAACTTTTAAAATTATATGTTAATCTCCTTCACCGATCTTGCGTAACTTTATTATTTCTTGAAATATTTTGACTTAAAATAATTTGCTGTCCGGCATCTTGGATTAATTTCTATCTCATTATCGGTGATTTTAGTGACGTCAAAAGCAGGGTTAGCCATATAAAACTACATCTAAATGACCAAATAACGTTAAGTCTTGTTTGAAAAGTCGTCAGACAGTTTTTTATTTCAAATAGTTACTGAAGTGTATGATTTTGGGCTCATAATAACCAGTTGCTCTATGGATAAAATTCTTGCGTGACCCTGCTTATGATGTCACATGCATATCCGCCAAAATTCAAGATGGCGGAAAGCTCGCTGATTTGTGATTTTTTCTGTTCAAATATCTCAAGAAATAATAAAGTTACGCAAAATCGGTAAAAGAGATTGATATATAATTTTAAAAGTTCTTCCAAATGAGATAATAAAAAAATATATTGCCGTATCCCTTTAAGAAAAAATTCCCCCCTAATCAGCCAATCACGGTCGAGTAATTTTGCCCTCTATATGATTAAATGTACTAAAAGGGTTCAAACTTTTTCTCTTCGATTAAAAACTCATTTACATACGTCGCATATCCGACAGTAATGGTTAGCTGAACTGCCCATGTGGTGCGCAAATTCGGATGCCCTTGGATTATCGCAAGCTACCAGTAGAATAGGGCATTGAACGAATACTTCGCAGTCACTCGTTGCGTCATACGTAACCATGCCTTCTTCAAGAGCTGGAAATGAGATAAACGTTAATAAATTGTTATATCTGATATGCTGAAATTTTCATCTGCCGACATTAGAAGTATATACATACTCCTTAAATCTGTTGCGATTTCTTTTCCCAAAGTTATAGAATCTACCAAATTTGATGCACAGATGAAATGTATGTTACTGAATTTGGTGATTTCCTTTCGCGGCAGACTTGCTAGAAACATGGAATATGTTTCGATTTGATTCCATTTCTTGCTTCTGTTCCCGCTCGTTTCATCGGAAAATATAACTAATGGGAGTGTTAGAGTCTGTCTTCCGTCTGCCAGGATTTTGGTTCGGTGAGGACGTTGCAACTGTTCTTTTTCCTTTTAATGAAAATGCACTGAACGCTCAAAGGAGGATAAATTGCTTAAGGTATTCCCTCTTCAATTATGTTTTTATGTGACATGAAGGAATCATACATACCTCGTTGTTAAGTTGGACGATACGTCCGTCCGTCTCTTTGCAATCGACTCTGTACCCTGATACCCTTTGTATATCTTCAAGACAGACCTCCTCCACTTCCTGTGTTAGAGTCAGTGAGCGTAACTCCATGTTCATCATAATTGTCTTTGTCAAACGACAGAAGTGTTTCAGCGTATCATCAACGTTCTATTAATTAACAATTGATTATCGGTGAATAGAAACCGAAACGAAGTCGAGGTTTCTATTCACAATAATCACCGAGCCTGAGGTTAATAATTGTTTTAGTATAATTCCATAGCGTGGAGAATTTTCAATAATCACCTATGTAATTATACTAAACCACATCGTCAATTGGCGTATATGATAATTTGTATAATTATCCAATTAAACACATAAGTAAGATCAAAACCTTCATATAGAATCCATCTATTATCCCATGACGTATTGTCTCATCAATTTTATATTCTACCAAATCTTTAACATAGAAAGTCTTTCCGGAAACACTTGCAGAGGTTGTCTGAAATTGCTCGTCTATATACCACTTCCTTCCCTGAAATGCATTAAAGTGCATTACTTTGTACGAATACTTTGTGAAATCTAATGGAAAACTTTAAGTCGTCATATGATAACTATGCCGATTTTTTTATTTTTTGAATTAAAAACGTACAGGGAGGTTTTTTGTACGTCAGGAGTGACAAAATTTCTACAACAAGCAAGAAAATGTTTGTATTAAGCGTACTTGATACAGTTCTTTGATGAATCGATCAGTTTTTTCGGGATATCTGGCCAATTTATTTGAAACTGAAGGTGTGGCCAGTTGTAATTTGATGATGTCTGATGGCGGAATCCAATAAAAAGGGTGCTCATTTCCGTAACTCTGCATAAAGATAAACAATTTCACAAGTAAAAAATTAAACACATTTAACATTCGTATTAGTTAACATTCGCTTTCATTAGAAATTTTTTAGATATTTTAGGATTAATTGCGATTTACCTTTCTTAATGAGATGCAGTTTTCCAAGCCTTTCACTTTAAAGGACAAAACGGATGAAAGCGTCGGAAGATTCACCCCAAAACGACCCATCATCATCCAAAGAAACTCCAAGTCTGATCTTGACTGTGAGATAATGATTTATATGCCAATTAAATTTGTCACAAAAAAACTTGCCAAAGAAAACTTGCTCGTCTGTAACGGTGTTTTTAGGGACCATGCAAAATTTATGTTTATACGGGGCCGGAGCAAAAGGGGACGGGGCACATACTTTTTTTGAGCTGCACAGAAGCCGGCACAAAGAATTTTTATGTGTTTCAGGTGGGGCACAATCGGGCACACACTTTTATTTTACCATATTCCACTTTTATTAGTAACCCTTAACAACAGACTCTGATACAGGATATAGTAAAACGGCCACCAAAATGACCAAATAAAATGACCAAACGGCTCTTTGTTAGCCGTTCCGTACGTTGTAACCAATAATCTATTGGCGTTGTAATGCCATTGTATGCAATAAAGTATTGGATTGTAATGGGTCTATGATTAATCCAAACGTTAATTCAAACCCTAACCCCCACCCCCTGACCTCAAACCCCCACCCCCTAACCCCCACTCCCTGGCCTCTAACCCCCACCCCTAACCCTAAAGCCGGTGGCCTATTTTTCCCCTGGGTATTTAGTCAGACCTCCTTCATATTTTAGCGATCTCTTCTGATTTTGTATAAAAACATTGCTATGTACAGTATACCTGATATCTACCTTCTTTTACTAACGGTAGCGGGGCAGCAACTTTTTTTAGTAAAGCCAGGGCGTAGTAAAACACTAACGTAGTAAAACACTGTTTTACTACGCCCTGGTAAAGCTCATAGCGAGGCTTGAGATTTTTATCATGCCACTTTAAGCAGGGCTTGCATTTTTTAAAAGTTAAAACTTGATTTGCTCCGGCCCGGTGGTACAATAACAGTTTGCATGGTTCCTTAATATTGTGCTCGTTAGGGGCGCTTAAACGAGTAAATTCGGTATAGTCAGTATGGTCCATTGGTATTGTGGAAGAATGCTGTTCTTACCTTCGGTCTCATGATACTGTGCGCGTAACAATACAGCAGAAAAAACGTCTCACTTGGAAACGGGAAGAAGTCTTTGTCAGCATTTTCATCACTAATAAGTTGTTCCGCCTCGGAGTTAAAAAATACCTCCCCCATGTCATCGTCTGAAAAACTTTCCTCGTCTGATGAAATCCCATAGACAGCCTCAACTCTTGTGCCAACATCTTCTAAAATCTCCGTTTCTTCTTCCATGTCCATCAGTTGTGCATTTTTTATCGCCAACAACCGTTGAACATGATTGCGCGAATTAAAATGTTGTGTCGAGGTTTCTTGTGACTCGAAACTTTTATTGCAGTCAACACATGTTGACACTGATTGTCTTCTTCTCTTCATTGTCTTACTGAATAAACACAAAACAGATAATGAATATGAATGAATATTCATGATCACATACTTTCAAAACCGAGTTTCAAATTTGTATTTCTAGCGTTCATTCAACAGGTGCTTTCCTATTGGTTGGTTGATTTATCTTTTTGAACGTTTGCTTCCTTATTTGGGGGAGGAAAGGAAAATACTGATTCCTGATTGGCTGATTCAGTCATTGCTCTTATTTTTTGTTCAAATTTTTTTTCCCGCCTTGGGAAAACACTTTTTCATTGTGCGGAAAAATACTAAGTGTTGGTGAAAAATTTTGTAAAATGTATCGTCCTCGGATGCGCGAACAGGTCGACGAAGACGCGGAAACGCAGGACCCATTCAACTGCTTTGAAGAGTAAGTTGTTTTAAAGTAATATTATAAACACATACACCTGGTTTAATGCAGACTCCCAGTATTTTTGTCCGAAATAATTGTAGCTGTTTCTTTGTTTCATATTTACTAGTTACTTCAACGCGTTTTATGAAGAGCAAACATCCAACAGAATTCAAAATTGTCAGCCGTCTATTACGAGTGGTAAGTACATATAAAGTTGATTTGTTGTTGATACTCTATCACTTTTAATAATGGTTGTTTCCTTTAATTTGTAGGGTCTCAGAGAAATGATGCGACATCGACACGAGACTCATCTGGTGTGTCAGGTATCTATTTTTGATAACATTTATTTTTCAAACAATTCTAGCACTTGCTTTATATTCAGTAAATTCAACTTGAAACAAAGTTTTAAGTTGAAAAATTTAAATAAATTGAATAATTTCCGCAATATTTCATCCTTCCTGACCCTGACCCTGACCCCGACGTTGTGGTCCCGCCAATCCGCCATTATCCTCAGTCCTTGCAAAACTAAAATGGCTTCTAAGCTTGTGGCTATTTATATCATTATATGCACAAAACGAAGTTATAAATGCTTTAACTCTTTAAATAATTAATTTAAAATAATGTTGTTATCATGTCCTAGTGTTGTGTTCAGGGAGTATTCTTTCATAAATAAACATAAACTACTTTTATTGCGTACTGCCTTCGACTTCTTGATATTTTATTTGTTGTTTATAGTGTGTATGGCGACGTTTTAAAATGGCTTTGTTGTAATTGACTTTAGGAAATAATAATTCAGAGCGGCTAATACTCGATCTACAGAAAGAGTGGCCACCGTCAAAAGAACGCTAAGTAGAATGCAAGATGTACAAGAAGAAATCTTGGCATGTGTCAAAAAATAAGAAGGGGAACAGAGGCAGAAAAATTTGATCTTTCAAACTGCTGCCACACTGTGAGTTTAGTATTTTTATTATTTATATTATGAAAGAGGCACGGGACAATTGTATACACAAAGAGCTGTCAGATATTATGCATGGCATTATATTTTGTAACTTACATCATAATGCCATTTGCCATTTATGACATTTACGTCTTAAAATATTGTTTCAGGAAAACATCACTCAGCTGCTGGGGAAATACTATACGATTCCCAATGGATGTTCCAGAAAAACAGGTTAATAATAGCATGTATATTTACAGACTATTCGGTTATTTAAAAATAGTAATATATGTATCACAACATAAAAATATTTTTAATACTGGCTGATATATAACATTTTACCATTGATGTTGTTTATAATTTCTACCTATTATTGCTTACCTTTAGCGAGCTTTGAAGTTAGAGTTTAACAACTCTCCAACAGGCCTCTCTGTCGAAGGGCTTCTACTTCGTTTTAAGAAGTTTGAAAGTTCAAAGATGTCGTATTGGAGAAGCGAAGAAAGGAGAAGAGTAAGTAATATATAAGACCTTTATTATTTGGCATTTGCACTTAATATTGAAGCTGATTGCATGCATAAACCAGAATGAGACATCAACTTCAATGGCAGACTGATATATCAGACATATTTTCGCTTGCCAGTTAGGGATGTTTGATATACCAATATACCAAAAATACCGGTATTAACCCATTGAGTGGCGATGCACCCTGATGCACCCTACTTTGGTATTTTACTCTGTCTAACACCAGACAATTTTACTCATCAAGAGGAGAACTTTGGCGATTAATGGGTTAAAACCAATGTTGGTATGACTTTTTTCAGTATGTACCGATATACCGACATGTCCGATATACCAGAATGTTTCGGTACGATATGGCAAAATAATCAATGTTTCTATTAAAAATCGCATTGAAATGACTGAAATTCCTTTGAAACAGCTTTGAATTTAGGGAAAGTTAGTTTGCTGACGGTGACCTCAGAATGAAATTTCGTCAAACCTTTTTTCTTCAAGACTTGTTTAGAACCAAACTTGGAGTAGGGTTCGGATTAGGATTAGTATTTAACCCATTGGGTCACATTGCACCCTGATGCACCCTACGTTAGTATTTTACTCCGTCTAACGCCAGACGATTTTACTCGTCAAGGGGAGAGCACTGGCGCTTAATGGGTTAACTTGTGCTTTGTTTTTACTCCTATCACAGCTTCTTGGAATTGCAGGATATGAAGCCCTGTTACGTGCACCAACAGAGGCATTATCAGACAAACTGCTGCAGTTGATTGGGCAGAAGTACTCTGTCAACACGAACAAAACACATCTGCAGAATGAGGTGATGCTAGCAGTAAGTGACAATACAATTCTATTATATTTTAACAGTCCTCAATTAAGTGTTTTTCATTTGTATCTGCAATTTCCTGCTGGTTTTTAAGTGATATAAAATGTTAACGTAATGCTTAAAACTGTGAAAACTAAAAGAATTTTAAAATTTCAATTAATAAGGTTTTATATATACACTTGGTCAAGTGCTCTGGGAATCAAACCCAGAAACCAGTATTGGTATGTAGTGGTCACAAACATGTGCACTTTTCTGTTTAACCCATTGAATCGCATTGTGCCCTGATGCACCCTACTTTATTATTTTACTCTGTCTATACGCCAGACGATTTTACTTGTCAAGGGCACAGCTCTGGCGCTTAATGACACAGCTCTGGCGCTTAATGGGTTAATTAAACCATTGTTCAAGATGTCCATCAACACCAGTTTCAGCTACTTCATTATCTGATCCCATTCCTTTTATATATTTGATAGCGTAAATATGTCAGAGAAATGACAGTTCTACGGGCGAAAAAAGAGAAGGAATTTTGGCAGGCCATGTACACATGGAAGACGACAACCTGGCCAAATGGGCTATCACCAGATGATTGGCGTGAAGTTAGGAGGGAAGACTTGGCTGCCTATGATGCATAAGAATTAATGATTTGATAATTCCCTTGCCAGAATCTTAACAAATTAATGATTTATTTTAAAAGTTATTACTCGGTTTCAAAACAGGATTTTTCTAGAGGACGTATTAAATATAAACAAAAATACCTCTAGGAAAATTCTGTTTTGGAACTCAATTAACTTTTATAATTAAGATTGAACAATGATTACTGTTACAGTATAATTATTCCAAATGAGCAAGCAAATTGGAATTATGTTGTTATCATATGTGTTTAATTATGGGAAATTTAATTATAAAAAATAAATTTTTTTAACCATCACAACTTCTTGTTTGCAACACAACTTTCTTGTACACAACATGTATATTCATCAACAACTTTTTAGTCTGCAACATCATTTTCGATATATGATTTTTTATTTTCAACACAACTTTTTAATTGCGGGAACCACTGAGCATTTTTATTTTCAATACAACGTTTTATTTTACAACTATTTATAACACAACTTTTTATGTTCAACACAACGTTTTAATTGCGGGAACCACTGAGCATTTACAACCGCATTTATTATATTCATTTTGAAATCAATGGTGTTTCCTGCAATTTGACTGGTTCACAGAAGTGCGATTTCAGCACGAATCGTGCTGAAATCGCACTCCTGTGGACCAATCACATTAGAATGCTGACTTCAGTCAACCAATCATATTTAATCATATGATTCAAACAGCCAATCAATTTTAAGAAAAATGTGAAATGGCGAATGAGCAAAAACAAAAAATTTACATATGTCATGAATGATTTAAAATTATGCAATTTTTTGCACATGAAAACAAACTAATATGGATAGCTAAAGTAAACTATCAAAGAATTGCAAATTTTACAAATAGTAAAAGGCAAATTAAGAAAATAATCTTCTATCAAATATGATCAAAACGCTAAAAAAAGCAAATATAAATCGGAGAAAAACTCGGTGAAAACAAAGGTAAATTCGCCTATCGTATTTTCAGTTTTAAATGTACAAAACTGCACCAAAACTCTTTGAAATCACTCGTAAAGCCTACAATATCTTTAAACTTACTTGTGTTGTCTCTTATTCTTTATAAATGTTTTCATTTCTTTAATAATTTAGATTTTTGAACGTATATTAAAATATACTTTAACAAATCCTCATTTTCTATTTTGTTCGCTCATTGTTGCTATGCTAAAACACTCAGGGAGGTACCGGAGGTACGCCTTGCAAACAAAAACGTTTCCGGTTTACAAAAATGTTTTAAAATTTCAAAATGAATATAATAAAGTGGAAATTGAACTTTGTGTCGTGCAATTTTGGACTGAAATCAAACTTGTGATTACAAATCACACTCCCACTTCGCGGTCGTGCGATTTTGTAATCACGCGTTTGATTCCAGTCCAAATTGCACTCCACTCAGTTCAATTACCATTATTAATATATTTCTCCAATCAGTTAAAAATCAATAAACTATAGTTTTGCAAAAGGAAACAAGCATGACATAAAGTGTCGCTTAAAGTAAATAGGCCGGGCTAGTTCTATTAAATAAGTTACAGCAATAATTACCAATAAATATCTGCAAAATACTCCAATGTAAATAGCCAAAATTAGCAAAATATATTAGTAATACTGTTACAACTTGCTACAACAGGCTTCGTACAAGATTGTTGAATGCAGATTTGCTACAACCTTGATACACCAGGCTTGTTACAAGATTGTTGAATGCAGCCTTGCCACAAGCTTATTACAACCAGCTTGTTACAACTTGATGATCACAACAACTTGTTAACAAATTGTTCTAACAGGCTTGCTAGAAGTTGTTGTCAACAAGCTTGCTACAAGTTGTTCCAACAACTTGCTACAAGCCTGCAAATCAACAACTTGTAGCAAGCTTGATATCAACAAGCTTGCTATAAGTTGAGAAAATAACAAGCTTGTAGCAACTTTGCTAATTAACAAGCTTGCTACAAGCTTGTTAAATTGACAACTTGTTGACAAGTTGTGCGTTTTTACGTGTGTACCCCTTCCTCAGATTAATTTCAATTTACCAAACAAAATCCACGACGTCACGTGACCAGCTCCGACCAGGTTCTTTCCTCGTCAAGAGAGAAGAGCCTGGGAACGAGGTTATGTAACGAATAGGATAACCTAACAAGGCGGGAAACAGGCAGAGGAGTTGTCAGAGAATCATTTTGCCAAGCACATTAACGTGATAACAGTTCATAGTGTAAACGAAAATAGCAGGTACTGTATATACAGCCCAGAACATTCGAGTGAGTGTGCGCTAAATGCATCCTCGTTCCTAGGGCTTCTCGCCGCCTGCGCTGCCGTAAGCCCTGGGACAAGCCAAACCGCAACACCACAAATTCTGGTGTTTTCCGGAAGTAAACATGCTCTGCTGCAAGCAAAAAATGCTGACTATGCACCAATTTTTACTGAGAAGTGGAGACGTGTTGGTGAGAAGAAAATATTGATTTTCCTTTTGTTTTGATGTATTTTCCACCATTAAGGGAATGTGTGCAGACTACCTAATGGAATTATACATATTGGGGTTTTATATTTCGTTATATCGTTAATACTCGTCAAAATACCACCATATTTCGGTCTCGTGTTACATGTATCAATTTTCATGTATGATGTAAACATGATCGAGTCGAAATGTGCTCGAAGTGGTTGCTGTGATTCGAAACATCATGGGTTCTTGTACAGATGACCTGTTTAACATGCGCTTTTAAAGTCACTTCAAATACTAGACAAAGCCCGCCTGGAAATTAAAGAGAAGCAATACGAAGCTTTATCGTCCGTTCTAAGGAACAAGAACGACATGAGACATGTCTAAATAGCGGTGTGTCTGTTTACTGGGTTACAACAACGGCAATAACAATGAATCACCTAATATTTCAAGAAAATATAAATTATAGATAGATGTCATGCATGACTCCATGAGTTTTGGATATGAATTGCTAGATTTAAATCTATATTATGTATACAAAATCATGCGTTCGTAAATTTGAGCAAAAAAGCACAAAGTCAAGGTGTTTGTTTGGCCATATGCCCATCATGTAGTATGAATATTGAAACCATTTTATATAGCACGTTTGAAACAATTTAACACCAGGGAGTTCATCCCCCCCCCCATTATCCACAAGTGTGACTAAGCTTTTTTGGGTATCTATCCAGGTGTCCAATCTAAATCTCCACTACAACAGGATGTATACCTGAGTGATGGTAAGGAAGGTGGGGTTAAAATTCTGATTTATCACTATATTACTACACATATCCGATTACAATATATCTGATTACAATATTTACTGATGGTAAACAGATTCGCTTGAACAAGCAAGACACTAAGCATTGTATTTGTTATCATGCAGTACCGATTCGTATTCGTGTTCTTGCTCTTTTCGGCAATACAATATGATGGAGAAAACAAACAGAAACCTAATAACAAAGGCAAGGTTCTCAAAACATCAAACTGTACTTTCCATGGAGAAGAAGCACATCGGTTCAATAAATACTTCAAACTCGCAATACGGCAATATATTTGCATAACATCGACAAAGACAAGCCGAAGACACAAGTATTTGGCTTCCAGTTTACGCTATTACAACAACACCGATGCAACCTTTAATGTGGAAAGAAATCCTGGTCCAAGTAACAGTGGAAACGATGATTCCGAAGCAAAGATTCACCAAATTAAGCTACCCAAACGAGGACTGAGAATAGGTGAGTGGAACATAAATCACCTAACCGATGCAAAATTCGAACAAATTAATCTATTATTAACTACATCAACAAACATTGATATTCTATTTGTAATTGAAACTTTCCTAAAGCCTTCAAAACCAGATTCCCTATTCAATATTCCGGGTTACTATATGTACAGGAAAGATAGAACAGGCCGAAAAAATGGCGGAGGATTACTAACATATGTGGCAGAAAAAGTCCAAACGAATAGAGTTTCTGAGCTTGACGAGGATTCTGTAGAATCGCTGTGGCTAACTGTTTGTCCACACAATTCCAAAAGATCGATTTTAGTTGGGGGTGTATATCGCCCACCGTCTTCAGATAAAGAACATGATCTCAAAATTGAGCAAAACATTGAAATGGCATACTTGAGAAAACAAGAAATGATTATTGTAGGGGATTTCAATATTAATGCCTTGGACAGTCGTCTGTACTTTAAACACCGTTTAATCAAGTCGCTAAAAAGCATGCATCTAACTCAGCTTGTGTCTATGATTACACGACCAACCAGTAAAACCTGTTTAGATCATGTTTATACTTCGCACCCTAATTTTATCACAGACATAGTGTCGGAAGACATTGGAACTTCTGACCATCTACCGGTGTTCGTTTGCAGAAAATACACCAAACTAAATAAGGACGCAAGCCATAAAGTCATAAATTATCGTGTTTTTAAGAACTTAAACCCAGAAAATCTATTAGATGATTTAAAAAATGTCCCTTGGGATAGTGCTTTTATTTTTGATGATGTAAATGACATATTAGCAACACTGGGGTCATTATTAAATCAGGTACTGGATGATCATATTCCGCAAAAACAAAGGCGTGTAAAAAAGCATAAACAACCAGCATGGATTACAAATGAAATCATCGAAGCGATCAACCAAAGAGACTCTCTACTTAAGAAAGCTCGTAAGTCAGAATCATGTATAGATTGGGACATGTATAAACACAAAAAACGCATAGTTACTAATTTTATTAAAAAATCAAAACAACGCTACTTTCAAGATTCGATTGAAGAAAACAAAGATGACCCTAAAGGAATATGGAAAGCTCTAAAGCAATTAGCAAAAACACAAAAACCATCAATTAAAATAGCAGAGCTGACTGACGATCACGGAAATAAGTACACGGAGCCACAGGAAATATCCGAAATCATGAATAATTTCTTTATTAACATCTTAAAACAAGTGGGAGACAACACGACTCAAGCTGGAGAATTTCTTCATGAACACGTAATTGCGGAGTTTGTATCATCGAAGATCTTAGACGATCAAGCCCAGTTTAGCATTCCTGAAATAACGAGCAAAGATGTCCAAGAAATAATAGATAAACTGTCAAATAATAAAGCTATAGGTTCTGATGGAATAAGTGTGAAACTCCTTAAACTGATTGCACCGGTTTT